ATTTTGGAATCATTACTTCATAGTTTTAACATCAATTTTAAGGTTTATGATTCTTAGTTCTTCAAGTATGTCAAACACAAAACTCAACCAAACGACCATTTATGAACATAGAAATGATATATACGAACATTCTAGTCACTAGATATATCTACGGGCTTACCTTAAATCTTATCGATGGTTTTGAGAATTTTCCAGCGAAACTTCGAGCAAGGATTACTCTTAGCTCTGGCGACTTCACTCCAAAATAGCAGCACCACTGCGTTCCCCACACTCAAAGCTAACTCTAAGAAGAAATTTGGGAAGAAATAATGAAGAATTGAGTAGGAAGGCTGGTCTTATATAGGGGAGGAGTGGAGGAAGAAACCAAGGCTGTTGATGAACATTTCCCTGTTTCGGTGGCTGAGTGGAGCGGGCTGGTGTCCTTCTCCGATTCTAAACGTAAGTCCCTGATTGGGACTAATTTGGTCCTAGTTGGGGTACACTTTTTGGTCCAACTTTCTTCGAATTGAAATATGATTGAACCATTGTGGTCGGATAGTCAAACTCTACACAATGATATGATTTTCATTATTTATTTACAAACTTTATAAATCACTTAATTTTGGGTCCTTCTCAGTAATTAATTAATTATCAATTAATTAATTCTGATAGGCCTATTTTCAAGGTGTTACAGGTCTGTACTTGCTCACCCCTACACGTAACACTAATTTGTATTTTGATTTTTTCAAAAGATGCTCTACGAAATCTGCTATAAGGTTGTTGCATGCTCTACTGCGGATTTGGGCGCGTCTTACAATTTGTTCATCTTCGGCAACCTCTTCAACGTTGTCATTATCTGGCTCGTTGTCAGCTCATGTGGAAGCGTCTAACAAATTTGAAGTCGTTGTACGTTGGCTCGACAGAAAAATATTCTATGAGTCCCTGGTATGTGGCCGCACATTCTCGATTGATTTGGATTCATCTTCTAACAACCCTATCGTTCTCATTCTACCTTAAACTATCAATAATACGAGCCGAGGTTTGGATTGCTTTTATAAGTTGGAGTGGGTCGGGAAAACTGAAAACCAAACCAAAGTTGATTGAATTGTGCTAAAAAACCAAAACGAAAGAACAATAAGCGAATGCAAAAAACTAAATCGAACCGTGTCCAAACTATTCGATTTTGGACTATGAGAACTGAATCGAATCGAAAAAATAAAAACATGTAAATTACCACCTAGAATTCCAAGATGAGGAAAAAAGTTAATAATTTTTGTTATGGTAAGCCTTCGTTTTTTGTAGGTTTAATTGTTTAAGTTGTTTCATCTTTGCATATTTAATTGTTTAAATTCTTTTTCCAAGTTTCATTGTTTTGGTTATGGTAAGCCTCCTTTTTGCCTCAATTTAAAAGTTAATATTTTTTGTTATGGTAAGCCTCCTTTTTGCCTCAATTTATTTTTGAATGTTGAAAATAAAATTAAAAAGTGCTCCGTATAAAACTCTTAATTTCTTCATTTTTTACATATTTAATTTTAAAGATGCAAGTTGAAATTTCACATATAGAAATAATGTTTAGGACTTTAATTCCATGATGACTTGATTTCTTGGACCTTTGTTTTTTATTATGAACAATTATGAGGTTACATTGGTTTTTTAAATGCGAGCAACTGAGCAAGTATAAGCTCTATGGTTTTCTTCAATTTTGAGTCGCAATTCTAATGTTTAGATAGATATTGCAAGTGTTATGTAAATGTTTTTATAGTTTTTAATGTAATAAGTGTGATACACCTGAAACAATGTGTTTTTTAAAAACCGAATAACAAAAAAAACCAGGGATAGAACCGCAAAAAACAAAACCGCAAAACTAATTGTTCACTTTTTTAAAAAAAAATCGAACCGAATCGAACGGTCAAATTAATTTCCATTCTCTCTTTGGTTTTAGGGTTAAAACAAGCCGAAAAACCCGAACCCACGCCTTTTTATTAGTACTTCATCATCACTAGATGAATTGGAAGAAAGAATGTACAAATTATTCTTTTTTTTGTATAGTAGAAGAGAGATAAAAAAAATAAGAAGGGAATGCCTTAAAAAGTCTATCGTGGACCTAAGAACCACCATGGATCTATATATGAGCAAAGTTAGCATTTTCTTACTACTTAATTCAGCATCTATTTTTTTAATAAAAAAAATTTTTAAAAAAAAATTATGTGAGAATATCTACAAAAACGGTATGCACCCAAGGTCCACCATAGAAGCACTCAAAAATACGGAGTATATAGAAATTTGATGGTTTAAATAGAAGAGAGAAGACGCTGAGGAAGGTGGGGTTGAAACATAAAATTTAAAATGTGAAATTTGAATTTTAAAAATACTTTTTAATAAGGGAAAATTATCTCCAATAATTCTACCTTTTCGTTCCCTTTTAAAAAACACTTTCACTTTTCACTTTCAAAAAAATAATTCCACCTTTCAGCATGTGTGCGAGTTTTGGGTCGTCGTTAAAAATCTAACGGCCACTAAACGAAATTTTTAGAAAGTGCCTGTTTTTTGCAAATAAATAAAAAGTGAGATTATTTTAGGCAAATTTACTTTTTAAATTTTTTAATATCAAATTTAAAATTAACTTTTTTAAAACTATAACAATACACTCTTATTAGAAATTTGTCTAATGATTTACAAATTTTGTTTTCTATTTTGAGAAAATATAATATTGAATTAACAAAAACAATTCAGAGTATCGAACAAGAAAGAAACTGCAATACAAAAAACTATAGTGGGTTATAAAATTTATTAGTTCTGTTTTGGAGAAAAAAATTGTGCAGTTTTCACAACCTTTGAATTACTATTTTGGGGAAAATTTTGTGTCGAATTACAAAAATCACAAATTAGGTAGTTCCATTTTTAGAAAAAAATAATATAGGCAATAGAAGATTATCAATAAACATTTCAGAGTGTTGTCCATGAACAAATTGCAATACAATAGAAAATGTAGTGAGTTATAAAAATAAGTGTTCCATTTCAGAGAAAAAATTGTTGTGTTATTTTCACAATTATTTTAATGTTGTTTCGCAAAAAATATTTATATAGAATTATCAAAAAATATTCACAAGTTTGTAGTGCCATTTTTAAGAAATAACACTCATATAGAATCAAAAAACAATTTCAAGTGCCGTTCAAGAAAATAATTGCAAGTTACAAAATAATGTAGTGAGTTATGAAATAAATTAGCTTTATTGTGTAGAATAATTTATTTTTTTAATTATTACCAGATTATCGATTATTGAAAAACAATTAGTTTCACTCTGAAAAACACTTAAATTTGGTATTATTTTTCCAAAATAATTTTTTTTTAAAATACATTTAAATTTAAAGGTAGAAATGAATAAAATGAAAAAATAGAGAATTGCCTAAAATAATCTCACCTTTCATTTATTTACGAAAATACGCATTTTTCAAAAATTCCGTTAAGTGACCGTTAGTTTTTTAATGGCAACCTAAAACTCGCACATATGCAGAAAGGTGAGATTATTTTCGGTGACAGTGAAAAGTGAAATTATTTTTGAAAGAGCACGAAAAGGTTAGATTATTTGAGATAATGTTTTCTTTTAATAAAAAAAGGATGATCCCCGTCCACACAATCACTGAGAAAAGAGAATTTGGACTTTAATCGCAAATTAGTGGCAAATAGTGGAGCATGCATCTGGTATTTGCAGAGACCTTATGCTTAGCATAGTTGCCTACCAACACAATTCTCAGGAATCAAGTTCGAATCTTACTCCCTTAGCACCCTTACCTTCCAAAAACGAAGCCCTACATGCGTGGGGAAGGGGTGTTATGTGTAATCACACGGTAATGTGACACTGCCACGACGGATCACACGGCAGTGGGGTATCAGCCGTCTACTCTATAACTATCTTTTGGAAGATGCTAGGGGCACACTAAAGGTATACCCCAAATAAACACCACATGCTTTTTGACCATTCATTTTTATTTAATTTTTATTTGTTTATTTTTTTAAAAAATTACATGCTAATTTTTGTGGTAATGGAGTATATTGGGGTGGCGGAGTCTAATTGTTCTTGAAAGAAAATACGAAGAAAGTTTGTGCACAAATAAAAAAGAGAGGGTAGAGAAAAATTATCGGAGATGCTTGGAATAGACCAAAAGTCCTCCACCCCTTTATAACCACTTATTTTTATTTAATTTTTATTTACTTATTTTTTTATTTTCTTGCCTATTTTTGTGAAGAGGACATTTGGGGTGTAGCCCTACCATTCTCCAAAATTTATTGGACGGACCCGAGCCCGAGCCCAACCAAAAAAAATTGAAGCCCGAGCCCGACCCGCGGGCTTCGGGCCGGCCCGGCCCAACCGAAAAAAACTTTTAAATAATTTAAAAAATATTTTTTAAAAAAATAAAGTAACAAGTTAATATATTAGATATTTGATATAAAAATTATTATGAGTAATGAAAGAAAAATTAATATATAAATATATTTTGTTTGATATTGCTACTATGAATGGAGTATAAAATATTACCTATTGGAATGTCATAATCAATGTGTGATACGTTGCAAACAATACGGAGTAGTAAAGACGTATTCATTTTATTATATAAACTTATAGTTTATTTTTTCTCTACATAGAAGTATGTATGTGTTTATAATAATTTGAAATAGATTTGTTCTTTATTATTATTATTATTAATGTTGTTATTGTTATTTTATTATAATTATATTAATAATAAATATTTTAATTTATTCGGGTCGGGCCGGCCCGTGGGCTTGAACATAAACTTGAGCCCGGCCCTAAAATCTTCGGGCCGCCATTTATAAGGCCCAAGCCCGGCCCATACCCTAAAATGTCAAGCCCAAGCCCGCTATTTTGCGGGCGGGCCGGATACCCGAGCCCGTGATCTGGTCTAGGTGTAGCCCTACCATTTTCCAAAAATTATTGGACGGAACCAAAAAGAGATCCAAGTCATCCAGGAGGCGCATTATCGTCTCCCTTTTCTTGTCTGTGGTTGCCAGCAGCAGCACTGTGCTGCATAATCTCATTTCTCTAGCTATTTTTCTCAGCAAAGCAATAGGTTGAAGAAACATCGCAGCAACAACGAATTTTTCTGGGTTAGGGTTTTATGTTTCATAGAACACAACCTATTTGAGGCTTATTTACGAGTCTGTTACTAATTATTTGTGTCATTTATTCCAGGGTTAAGCATAAGAACAAGCAGATCCATGGCATTATCAGTCTCAGCTTCTGAATCGATAAGGTCAGTTCTGAAAGGTGATTCCTCAAGCAACATTGGCAATGAAGAATATAAAGTTATTCACTTAGCAGGGCATGGTAAAGAGATACCCACTGATCAGATCTACAAGAAAGCTACGCTTTCTTGGCTTAAATTTCTGTGCAACCATAAAGTTAAGTCAGTAAAGAATTATTTTAATTTTAAAGGCAAACAACAAGATTTATATTTGTTAACCCGGGATGATATAAGAATGCACAAGAGCAAATATGACTATGTGCATATTGGACTTGTGCAAGCTCATGTTGAACCATGTCTATTTAATGATGGTCGAACTGATCAAAGAATCTTAGTGTGCTTGCGGGATGCAAAGCATCTGGATTTGAAAGACTCAATCTTAGCAGCCTTTGAGATTGACTTATGTGATGGTGGTACAAAGTTCAATTGGTTCCCAAATTACTCGGCGTCTTTGTCTGATCTATCAACCACAAATGGGTTGGTGATAACTGCGGAGCCATGTGGTTTTATGAATATTGGAGAAGCTACAATGTTTAAGATTAGCTACCGAATGTGTTATAAACTGATGAAGGGGTCTCTTGAGCCCGGGTTGCAATGCGAAAATCCTGTGTTGGAGGTGAAAACTGAAAGGGTGAATGTTCTTGCACCCAAAACCATTGGAAGGGAACAAATGGAGCGAACTGGGCTCGAGCTCAGTGTAACTGAGCAGTAGTGGAAGCTTATCCTTATCTATGTATAATCTGTTTCAAACCTTTCATTATGTACTTACTCTTTCTGGTTGTAGGGTTTGAATTGTTTGGTGTTAATCTATGTTTTAGTGTGTTTGCTCTGTAAATTGTTCTCAATCAATGCTAGCTTGTGATGCAGATTGTGCAAGTTAAGCTGCTGTACTAGCCATCGTGTTTTGGGAGTTCGATTTTTTTCTGTGTTTTGGTTGTATCATTCCTTAGCATGGGAAGTATTTAATTTTGTTGGTAAACTTTTATTCTTCAACTTCTTTTTTATCCATTTTATATTCATTCCAAAATCTCTCCAAGACGGGGAAATTTTTCAATGGTTTCGAAACCTCTCATTCAATTCCACATGGAGAGAAGTCAGAGAACAACACAATAAGATAAAAAAATATCGGGTGTTCTAAACCAAAATTTCCTCGTCTCATTTTTAATGAGTATAAAAAACTCAAAAAAAAAAAATGAAGTACCTCTCTAAAAAATATTCTCAGCACTCAGTAGTATAATGCAAAGTATGTTGGAAATCTGGGAGGGGCGCTCTTTGGCACTGTCGGGGTGCGCGGTATGGGTGTTGCAATCTTAATTTGGTACTACCTCCGTCCCATTTTATAACGCATGTTTCGGTTTACGATGTTTGACTGAAATTATTTTCAAACCATTTTATATGACAAATGGTATAGAATTACAAAATAAAAATTATATGTTAAAAAACTACATCAAAAGATCTACAATGGAAGCGTGGATAATTATAACGTATATATACAAACACAACATATACTCCGTATATCCTTTCACCTATTTTGAATATCATTTTCTTAAAATTCCAAATTTAATCTTGAAGAAAATAAATTAATCTATTTTTAATGTTTTATGTTACTTGATCCCTATTTCTTATTTGTATATCATATTTATATAATGAATGTCATCTTATTATTAATAATTTTATATTGGTTTCTATTTTAAGTACAGAGTAATTTTTACATTGGTTTGCATATTTTAAAATTAATTAATACTCCCTCCGCTCCCCGTCTTCGGCCCACCACAGCCCCACCCCTCTCTTCTCTTCCCCCTCCTCGGCCCAAAACAGCCCCCCCTTCCCTTCAGCCCAGCCCCACTCCACATCCGGCCCACCCAACACCCTTCCCCACCAGCCCAGCGGCACAGCTGCATCACCCAGCCCCAGCCCGCGGCAAACCCAGCCCAGCCCCCCTGAGCCCACTTCTCACGGCCCACCCAGTCCACCCCTCCCCCACCTCCCCCCATCACCACAAACCAACACCCCATGGTCACGCATTCTAAAACTGGCATAACCTGTCCTAAACATATCCTCAATCTCAACACCACTGTACCCATCTCCCCCTACCTCTACCTACCGTAGTGCTCTCAAAGACCCCAATTGACACAATTCTATGTGTGAAGAATTTAATGCATTGATTAAGAATGATACATGGGAATTAATACCCCCCTCCCCCCACCAAAATATAATAACTGGAAAATGGCTTTTTAGGCACAAACTTGGCCCTACAGGTGAGTTAACCAGGTACAAAGCTCGATGGGTTGTTCGGGGCTTCAACCAGAGATTCGGAGTCGACTATGATGACATTTAGCCCTGTGATCAAGCCAACTATTATACGCATCATTCTCAGTCTTGCTCTCTCTCGAGGATGGCCGATCCATCAGTTGGACGTCAAAAATGCCTTTCTTCATGGCCATCTGCAAGAAGTTGTCTATGCCTCTCAGCCATCAGGATTCCAAGAGCCTCATGGGCCCAACTATGTATGCAGGCTCAAGAAGGCTCACTATGGCTTGAAATAGGCTCCTCATTCGTGGTACCAACGATTTGTTGGGTTCATCTTACACGCTGGGTTTTCGAGGGTGTAAGTCGGACACCTCTCTCTTTATCTACTCTCATGGGACAGCCACTGCCTACCTACTCCTTTATGTTGATGACATCATCCTCACAGCTTCCTCTAACTCTCTCCTTTAGCGCCTGACTAAGTGCCTTAAGGGAGAATTTGCTAAGACTGACATGGTAGACCTTCATTTTTTCTTGGGCATCAATGTTCATCAGACATCTCATCGGACATGGGAGACACAGTTCACTCACGACATCCTTGAGCATGCCGGCATGATCACATGTCGTCCCATCTCCACTCCAGTTGATACGAATGCATAACTGTCTGGCACATCAAGCTCCCTAGCAGACGACCCAGCTCTCTATCGCTCCATAGTTAGAGCTCTCCAGTATCTCACATTTAGATTATAAAAACTACAAATGAATCGTTACAAGAAAGAAAAGCTTATGAAACTTAATGTTTTTTTCACAAAATAAAGATAACGAATGATAACAAAAGAGTATTTCAAATGTTTTCTAATGATTTTAGATTATTTAAAACTCAAATAAAATACTAAGTACAATTCACACATAATAAATTTGTATATTTTCTCTGTACTCTGAACGATAGTCTTATAAAAAATTTCTTTTGTAGTCCTTAGGTTCATATTTATTTTATGAACCTTGAAACACGAAATAGTTAAATATATTAGGCCTTGTGAAACAAGATCCAACTACAAGTCCATGAGAAATAATAACAATAGGACCTGTTTGTCTCTCTAAGCTATGGCGACAGCGAGGAAGAGAGGAAGACCGAGGAAAAAATCCAGGAAAGCAAAGCAACCGAACTTTCAAACACCAGATTTGCGCACAAAATCGGACAGTAATGGAGTTGGTAGTGGAGGCTCATCATCAAAGATGCCTTCACGTGAAGAACTATCTGGAGATCTGGAATGCGAACAAGTCGGAAATAAGGATCCAAAGAATGATGCAAAAGGAAAATCAGAAGGGAAATCCTATGCAGATGTTGTGGGTAAGCCTTTAGATGAAGAGCTTAAACTGAAATTCATTCCTACAGTTGAGGTAAATGGTATTCATATGGCAAAAATTGAAATGGGGGATGTGTTGGATCAAACTGACCGTTGGGATAGTGCACTTATATGCTGTGTACTAGGTGCAAATCCTCTACTGGATGTGTTTAAAGGTTTCATAAACAGAATGTGGGGGAAGATAGGAATTGAGGATATCTCACTTTTGAAGGAATCTCAATATGTAATAGTGCTTAAAAGAGTAGAATACAGGGATGATATAGTGAAGAGGAGGTTCTACTTCTTTGATAATAAGCCAATTTTCGTCCAAAAATGGAAACCAGGATACAAAATTAGTTTGGATACACTCCAAGACATCCCTATTTAGGTGAAATTCCCTGATCTAGATCTGAAATACTGGAGCATGGCTGGTCTAAGCAAATTGGGGAGTGCCATTGGGAAACCAATTAGAAGGGACAAGACTACTGCTACTAGATCCAAGCTAGGCTTTGCGAGAATACTACTGGAAGTAGGAATGAAGCAAGACTTCCTGGAGATGATACAATTCCTAGATGAGACGGGCAGGATTATATCTCAGCAGGTGGAATATGAATGGTGCCCCATCACATGTACATACTGTCATAAACTGGGTCATCACGAGGAGGTATGTAGATGGAAGCAAAGGAACCCTGATAATCATTAGCAAAATCAAATATGGAAACAAAAGAATGAAGGGGGGAGAGAGATGAGGAAACAAGAGGAGATGATGTGGAAAAAGAAGGAGAAAAATGTTTAGGTTCAGGAAGAGGTGCTGGAAAAAGAACAAACCAAAGATGAGGATAATGAAGGATTTACAGAAGTCAGTAAAAAGAAAGCAGCTAGAAGGATTGAGCTGGTAAAGGAGGGTGAGGGAACAAGCTATGGAATCCATAGAAGCTTGGTAGAAGCCCCATACATGGGGCATTACCCGTTCTTATCATGATAGGATGCTGGAATATTAGAGGTCTGAACAGCCCAAATAAACAGGTTGAAATTAGGAATTTTGTGTCTAGGAATAACATTAGTTTAATGGGAATTCATGAAACAAAAATAAAAGAAGAAAAAATTGATAGCATTATGGAGGGTATGTTTGGAGGCTGGAACGTCATTACCAACAATAAGGAACATCCTATGGGGAGAATATGGGTGGTTTGGAACCCTAACAAATATAATGTGGCAGCCATAAAAGTGACTGACTAGATTATTCATTTTAAGGGGAGGAGGATAGGAAAAAATGAGATTTTTTACATTTCATTCATTTATGGTCATAATGAAAGCAACAAAAGGAAAGGGATCTGGGAGGATCTGAGAGGCTTTGCTGGATCTATACAGGATCCATGGTGTGTTATTGGGGACTTTAATAATGCTCTCAATTTAGAAGACAGAGTAGGGGGACAAACGGTTACTGTTGAAGAAGTCTAGGATTTCAGGAAGTGTTTAACTGATTGTGGGTTGGAAGACCTACCAATGGAGGGTGAATTCTATACTTGGTCAAACAGACAAGGGAAGGGGAGAAGAATTTACTCAAAAATTGACAGGGCTGTGGGTAATATGGATTGGATAATTAAGATGGGTACTAAATGCAGTTTCAAAGAGGAAGGGGTTTCTGATCATACCCCCATGATTATAAAATATGAGACTGAAAAGTGTAACAAGAGCTTTAGGTTCTGTAATATGTGGATGCTGGATTCACAATTTAAGGAGGTATTAAAGGAAGTATGGGAGCAGGAGGGTGAAGGGAGAGCCATGTATCAAGTAGTACAAAAGCTTAAAGCTCTCAAAAAACCCTTAAAGAAGCTGAATAGAGACAAATTTGCTGATATTCACAACCAATGTGATGTTCTAAGAGAAGAGCTCATGGAAACCCAGAGACAAGTCAGAGCACAGATGGAGGATGAGGGACTCATTATGAAGGAGAAAAGGCTATTACAGGAACTGCACACAAAGATAAAAGCTTCGTGTATGCTAAAGAAACAGATAGCCAAGCAGAAATGGATTGTAGAAGGGGACCAGAACTCTAAGATCTTCTATGCCTGGGTTAAAAAGAAGAGGCTGCAAAACCAAATTAGTGCTATCATGGATTCCGAAGGGAATAAGGTTGAAGGAACCAATCAAGTGGGAGAAGTGTTCTTGGAGTATTTTAATAAGTTACTCGGAAGTGAACTTCAAACAGATGATATTAAAGTAGAGAGCATGGAACTGGGCAGCAAACTATCAACTAAGAAACAATTGGAGCTGATTGAACCCATCACACCTCTACAGATTAAAGAAGCTCTATTCAGTATTCCAAGTAGTAAAAGTCCTGGCCCGGATGGGTATAATAGTGGATTCTTCAAGAAACAGTGGCATGTGGTAGGAGAGCTGGTTACAAAAGCAGTGGCTGATTTCTTCTAGACGGGGAAGACCTTGCAACAAATCAATGCTACAAACATAGTAGTTATTCCTAAAGTGAGCTCTCCTATGTCTCCAGCAGATTTTAGGCCAATAGCGTGTTGCAATGTAGTATATAAGATTATTTCAAAAATCTTATGTGAAAGACTAAAGAAGGTCATTCCAGACATAGTGCATCTAAACCAGACAGCTTTTGTCAAGGGGAGAGATTTGGTGCACAATGTGCTCTTATGGCATGAATTGGCTAGGGGGTATAATAGGAAGAAAATCTCGCCCATATGCATGATGAAATTAGATTTGAAGAAAGCTTATGATTCTGTCTGTTGGAAGGCTGTTATCCAGATTATGCAACTACTGAATTTTCCTAGCCAATTTGTCCAATGGGTTGAATTCTGTATTAGTACTCCTGCATACTCTACTGTCATAAATGGGGAATGCCATGGCTATTTCAAAGGAAGAAAGGGATTAAGACAAGGAGACCCTATGTCCCTTATGTTGTTCGTGTTAGTTATGGAGTACCTAACCAGGTTGTTAAACCATGCTGCCGTAAAGGGGGAGATCAAATATCATCCAATGTGTACGTCCCTTAACCTAGTGAATTTGAACTTCGCAGATGATTTAATTATTGTCTGTAAACCAGATGAAAAATCTGTGAAAAGTGTTATGAAAGTACTAGATCAATTTCGCCTTGATACTGGACTTCAAGTCAACTATGCAAAATCTCAAATTATCATGGGAGGTATGAAGGAGGCTGAGAAGAATATGTTTTTGAAACACACAAACATGAAAATGGGGGAACTGCCTATAAGATATTTAGGAAGCCCTATTACTGCTGCTAGGGTAAGTAACAAGGAGTGTGAAAGACTGGTGGAGAGTATTACCAGTAAGATTGTTATCTTACTGGACAAGTAAAAATCTGTCCTATGCTGCAAGGATCAGGTTGATAAAATTGACTTCTGGAGTAGGATCTTTATTATACCAGGAAAGGTGATGAAACAAATACAAGCTATCTGCAGGAATTTCCTATGGAGCTCCAGCACCCAACATAAGAGAAGCCCTTTGGTAAGCTGGGAGGAGATCTGCCTACCCAAAGGCAATGGGGGACTGGGAATCAAGAACATGAATCACTAGAATAGAGCCTGTATTATGAAGATGTGTTGGGACATTGCTAACAAGAAAGAATCTTTATGGATAAAATGGATACATAGTAGATATATCAAACAGGGGGATTTTTGGGACACAAACTCAAAACCTGGCAACTGCTATTATTGGAAGAAAATTCTGAGAAATAGAAGATGGTTTGAGGATATGCCAAGAGACAAGAACTATACAGTGGAGGATGGATACAATTGGCTCATTGGAGAAAGACAAAAACCTGAATGGATAAAACTGGTCTGGAACAGGTACATTCTACCTAAACATCAATACATAATGTGGTTGATTGTTAAGGGCAGAATCCAAACTAAAGAGAGGCTCAGCAAATTCTTTCCGGTGGATACTACTTGTCTATTGTGTAAAGCTGCGGTTGAAGACATTAACCATCTGTTTTGTACTTGTGATTTTACCAAGCTGGTTAGAGCAGAGATCATCAAAAGATTTGGTGTTTGTTATTGGGGAGAGACAGTTGGGGACACTGGGAGAAATATTTTGCAAACTCCTAATGGGAAGAAGAGGAATACACAGGCTGCCCTATTTGCTGCAGTAAGCTACAATATATGGAGAACTAGGAATCATTACTTGCATAGGAATGAAGAACCCATGGTATCTCAATGTGCCCAAAAGGCTATATACCAAATAGAGATATATATGAAGGGGAAAGGAGTATGTGTTTAGGGCTATTATTGATATTTGTAGGTGTTGACAAGATTCTGTAATTCGTAATGTGTTGAGTTGTAAAAGGTGGAGGATGGTCTCTACAAGGTTTTTTAATGAGAAGTGCATTTTGTTCAAAAAAATATATGTGAGAAGGTCCACCATATACATTACACATGTGGACCTTAGGACCACAACAATACAATTTTTAGTTGTAAAGAGAGGTTAGAGAAGATCATATCTTCTCGTCGAGAGTTCGGGTTTGCTAAGAACCCTTAATCTTAGTGGTTGAAATGTTGAGTCAGAAATTTGAGTGGCTACAAGTGGTTGAAATGATTTGTTGGGCACCCGTAAGCCTAATGGGGGTTAGTGAAAATCTCAAGAAAGTCCCTTAATTAAGAATTGTACTTAGCCACTGGTCGTGATAAATCAGTATAAAAATCATGGTGTTCTTCTTTGTCCTTTTATTTTCACATTTACTTTATTTTTTTGATTTTAGTTTCACAAAACTTATCAAAATTATAGTAAAATACTAGCTATCCATCTAGCATTGAGCATACATTTTAACAAAAATTAAGACGAAATTTTTTTAGGCAAAAGGAGTATAATAATGTCAATGTGAAATTTATTTATACATTAGGGAAGAGCAAAAGGATTAGAGCATTTGCAATGGATGAGGAATCCCCAACGTGTCGCTCGCCTCTCCAGTCGTCCATTACATGAATAGGAACATGTTTTATGCCGCGGAACACGCCCAAACTGCAGCGCTTAACCGGGCTGAATGCGGAAAATTGCGGCAGGCGTCCACTGCAGCAGTCCATCGCGCCCCAATCTGAATTTATTTATTGATTTTTTAACCCTATAAGTTCAACATGTCTTCTACTTAATCCATTAACTATCATCTCTCTCAATTTACCTCTTTTTAAATTTCTCTTCATCTCAGATCACACAAAAATGGCTCTTCCTCCAACAAATGATGAGGTTGTGGATATGCTTATTGCGGTGTACCATGAGTATTTACTTTTCATCTAATCAGAGATTCAACTTGAAATTGCTCGACAAGTAGTGATGGCTACTATTCCTCTCGCTCCACATAGGCGGTTGTACATTCGCCAGGAATGTGAGCGGGCCGCTCACCATTTGTTTGAAGATTATTTTTCAGACATTCTGCATTTTTCTGATGACCAATTCCTTCGGTGCTTCGGAATGCATCATGTATTATTCATTCAGATCGTGAACGTACTCGCACCTCGTGATGTCTATTTCCACCAACGGCCGGATGATGTTGGACGAGAGGGCCCATCTATTCTACAGAAGTGCATAAGCGCAATTAGGTAGCTCACATACGGTACCTATGCTGACATGTTTTACGAGTATAGTACCTCAACATCGAGAACTGTACAAGCCGAGAATGCTTGGAGCATTTTTTCTAAGGTGTCATTGAAGGACACGTACTTGTGAAAGCCGACTGTCCAAGACTTTCAAATGTTAGAAACTATGCACAAGAAAGTGCACGGGTTTCCAGGGATAATTGGGAACATGGACTCTATGCATTGGGAGTGGAAAAATTGTCCCGAGGCGTGGAGGGGTGCATTCACAATCGATTACAAGGGCTCACACCTGATGATCGTGCTCGAGGCTGTTACTAACCATCGTCTGTGGATCTAGTATGCCTACTTCAGAGTCTCCAGATTGAACAACAATTTGAACATGTTGAATGGGTCCCCTTTATTCAACGATATCTGTGCTAGATGTGCACCAGTCATGCAATTCACCGCCAATGATCGCCAATATAACATGAGATATTATTTGACGAATGAGATCTATCCACGTTAGCTAGTGTTTGTGAAAACAATCAGGTGTCTGCCAAATCCTAAGAGGGCATTATTCGTGCAGAAACAAGAATCGGCACGGAAAGATTTGGAACGTGCCTTCGAAGTCCCCCAATCGCGATGAGCGATAGTGAAAGGCCTCTCACGCTCGTGGTGTCAATCTTTGATCTCAAATATCATGTTTGCATGTATTATACTGCATAACATGATAGTTGAAGATGAGGGAGTCAAAATCACGTGTTTCATATAGATGAGAGGGTCACATCCATTTTCAGGGCCACCGTTCGCCAAGGTCCAGCGACTTAAGGGCCACCTTCTGATTTACAAGATTTTGTAAATTAGCGTGCAAGTATGCGAAATGAACGAAGCCATGCTACCCTCCAGGATGATTTGATCGAAGAAATTTGGAGGCGCAACAATACTTAATTGTAGCATTAATTTTTTTAAAATTTTTTTAATTATATTTTGGTGTATTTCATCTTTTATTTCAATGTTTTTTTAAATAAAGAGTGCCAATCATAGCTTTTTTATTTTAATTATATGTATTTTGTTTATTATAAAAAAATTATAATTAAAACTGGTGAATAATGTAAAAAAACAGAGGCAACTTTTCACTGCAATAACATTGTAGAATTTTATGGCTGAGTTAAAAATTAGTGGAATGGTGATGTGGGAAGAGTTGGGCCGGAGCGAGATTTCCTCCCATTATAAATGCTCTTAGGACTGAAAAGTAGACGGAGACAAAAAGATTGACACAAATGATATTTTGGACCGATTCGATCTTAAATTGGTAGTAACATTTGGTGCTTCAATTCAATTTAGGTGAAAGACAAAACAATCCTGGAACTAATGATCTTTTCTAAAAGACTATGGTCATTTTCTTTTGGATTAGAAAAATTAATTTCTAACTTCTTCTAATTCTTTTCAATTACGTCTAATTTCTTTCAGTTCTTTCTAATTCTTTCCAATTTCTTTCAACAACGACTTTAAAAAGTATTTATATATGAATAATACAAAATAATATTATATACGGAATATCCAAATTTATAACATATAATCTCAAACACGGAAAATGATGAATCTTTTTATCAAAAATTAAAGTTTTCTTATATATTTATTTAGATGATAGTTAAATTGAATAAGTTTTTAATACTTAAATTATTCTAACTTTTTCCCATTTTTTCCTACTTCTTCCAATTTATTGCAACATTGAAATCCCTAACTCAAAAGAATATGGCCGAGTTCCCGAACCGACTAAAACTAGTGGCGCATACAAATCAAAATCACATTGGTTCCCATGACATTGGGAACCAATATCGACCAATGTCATGGGATGACATGAGGGCGCTCCGGTGCCCTGTTCGTAAAATTGACGGTTCCTACCTCCCTAACCTCCCGGTAAACCCCCCACCCCGCTCCGACTCGAACACACCCCCGCCCCCCCTTCAAAGTCAAATCAACTTGTGGGGAACTTTTCCCAATCAAAATAGTCATATTACTCAAATAACGAAAAGTAAGAATTTGAATGTTTTAAAGTCAAAAATTAAAAATTTTAAAAACAAAAAATAAAACTCGGCCAGACAGGTTCTAACCAAACTATTCCATCTAAAAAAGTTTCTTTTTTTGAAGACCAAATGACTGCAAAATAGTTAAGAAACAAATGAGACTCACTACATCCCCATGTCTTTTTTTACCAGGGTTAATAGCATGGGCACCCCCTGTGGTTTACAAAAAAGGCGTCAAAACCCCCTCTGTTTTCAAAAGTTATTTGTAAAGTCCATGTGTTTTCTAAATAGAGCACACATGCCCCCCTTACCTATTTTTAAAGCAAAAATAACATTTATGCCCTTTGTTTTCCCCGATCTTGATTTTTTCTGATTTTAATTTCCTTTATTATACAAATATATAAAATAAAATATATGCTTCCCATCTCAAATTAGAATTTTTCATAATTTACTTTTGAAAACAAAATATTTTTTGGAGAATGTTACAAAAAAATGAAAAATAAAATATTATGTACAAAGTAAAAAGTAATAACGGTTAAAAAAAGTAATGAAAAGAAATAAAAATATAAAAAATAGTCTTTTTCTTTAACTCCATATTTTATTTCATCTTTCTGTTCTTCATTTTTAAAGTCCTTAAAATTATTTTAGGGGATAAAAGCATGGGTGCCCCCCGTGGTTTACAAAAGGAACGCCAAAACCTCATCTGCTTTCAAAAGTTATTTGTACAACCCCCGTGGTTTTTAAATGGTGCACGGATACCCCCTCTTTCCTATTTTACACATGAAATGACATTTCTGCCATTGGCTTTTCTCTATCTTCAAATTTCACTCTTTTCTTTACATTTTTTGCTATACAAATAAATAAAATAAAATATACGCCCTCTTTCTCAAATTAAAATTTTTCATTTATTTAATTTTTTTTTAAAAATAATTTTTTAGAAAATGTTACAAAAATGAAATAAAATACACTCTTTCATTATAAGTAAAAGTAAAATAAATAAAATAAAAAATTGGATAACATATACTCACTCTATCTCTAGTTAAAAATTCTAACTTATTTGTTTTTAAAAGTAAAATAATTTTAAGGACATTAAAAATGAAGAACAGAAAGATGAAATAAAATATGGAGTTAAAGAAAAAGACTATTTTTTATATTTTTATTTCTTTTCATTACTTTTTTTAACTGTTATTACTTTTTACTTTGTACATAATATTTTATTTTTCATTTTTTGTAACATTCTCCAAAAAATATTTTGTTTTCAAAAGTACATTATGAAAAATTCTAATTTGAGATGGGAAGCATATATTTTATTTTATATATTTGTATAATAAAGAAAATTAAAATCAGAAAAATTTAAGATTGGGGAAAACAAAGGGCATAAATGTCATTTTTGCTTTAAAAATAGGTAAGGTGGGCATGTGTGCTCTATTTAGAAACCACAGGGACTTTACAAATAACTTTTGAAAACAGGGGGGTTTTGACGCTCTTTTTATAAACCACAGGGGGTGCCCATGCTATTAACCCTTTTTTACCATGTGAGACTTCCGATAATTTTTGTTTTTATATGTGTTTTCATTGATTATTTGAAAAAAAAATATTTGTAACAACTTATTTTGTATAATTTTTTATATAGTTTTAAATATGTAAGTTATATATTTTGTTTTTATACCAATATTTGAAGAAAAACCATATTAAATGTGTAAATAATTTGTAAGTTGTCCAAGACAAACAACTAATTTGAGAGGGTGGGAGGGGAATATTGGTCTTTTGAGTAATGCTAGGGGTACACCAAAAGGTGTACCCCAAATGTACACCACCCTCTTTAAATCCATACATTTTTATTTAATTTTTATTTACTTTTTTTTTTGAATTTTTTTGCCTTTTTTGGTGGACAAGGAGGGGGTGGGGGATAAAGGTGTACCCCTAGTATTTTTATGGTCTTTTTAAGAGTAATGCTATGGGTACAACAAAAGGTGTACCCCAAATGTACACCACCCTCTTTTCTTCCACACATTTTTATTTGATTTTTATTTACTTAATTTTTTTTTCTCTTTTGGTGGACAAGGAAGGGGTGGGGGATAAAAGTGTACCTCTAGCATTTTTATGGTCTTTTTAAAGGATAGATCAATGACATACTCCGTAACAATTTGCTTTGCCCAAGGCCCAATGTAAAAGCAAGTGAATGCATGTCTCAATCTCCAGTAATATTTTACTCCGTACATGCTGTCTCTCTGTTGTCTCAACGTTCAAATTTATCTCAGCTTTTACTCCATTTCAAAAATTTAACCTAACGTTCAAAAGTTCAAATACTTTGTACGGAGTATTTAAAGTTCTCTCTCTTCGATCTCCCCAGTTCTTCACGTGCTCCCTCCATACTACTCTTTTTGTCTAACTTTTATTTTTGAATATCATCCAATGCACTTCTTTAATCCATTTTATCTTGTAATTTGTGTATTAAAAATTATATATTAATAATCTACATGTTAAGACAAATCAAACAAGATTACACATGACTATTTTTAGATTTACATATTGAGAGAATTTGTTGAGTCAAAATGCTTAGATGAACAGTTCCAAAAGTCAAAACTGGACAAAAAGAGTGGGAGGGAGGTAGTAATAAATAACCTCACAAGGGCCTCTCTCATCCCTTTTCACATGCCGCCTGTGGGCATTTCTTCTTTCGGTAAAAAGAAGAAGAAATAAAAAGGAAGAAAAGAATCGTCTACCTGAGTCCGAGTGGGTGAGGGAACTTGAAAGCCTTCCAAGTATAATCAGCCGAGAAAAGGGGAAAGCATTTAAAGGTCAGATTTTCAGAATTATTTCAGATCTGAAACATTCACTAACGTTTGGTTAATTCATTAGTTTGTGACATTATTGTGAAAGTGCACTGAGTACAATTATTTCTAGATTCAGAATTTGATATGAAATGATTTTTTAGTTTCTGGATGGGAAGTAAAGATTAGAGAAATGCATGTTTATTTTGGAAGCTTTTTGGTATGATTCGTATTTTTTTCGTGTTTAGCTTAATTGTACTGGCATATAGAATTATGGATTGAATTTAGTGAGAAGATAAATGTGTAGATATCTTGAAATTTTCATGCTCTGGTGAATATGATTGTGCAATCGTTTGGTGTTTAAAGTATTTCCTGTGAGAGTGAAAGTTGTTGGTCTGTGTGTTGAGAATGTTCTATATTTGTTGAATAGGGAACCAAAAATGCCTCAAAGGTATCCTCTTAGGAGCTCATCTCATCTTAGAGCTTCAAGTTCGGATTCGGAGTCCCTGCGCAGTCGGCCTTTGACTGATAGGAGTCCGAAATTGCGGGGAGACCGTCGATCTCCAAAGGGATCTCAATCTGATCCATCGACTCAGAAGAAACTCGGGTCGCGCATTTCGGACTTGGAAAATCAACTTGGGCTTGCTCAAGAGGAGCTCAAATGTCTCAAGGAGCAGTTGGCCTCAACGGCTACTTCAAAGAAAATGGCTCCGGAGATACTTGAGAAGAACACAAGGAAACCAGCTGTTGTAAAGCCTGAAGAAGTTCCTGCCGTTGAAAAACAAAACCTGCCTGAAAAAATGGTTTTAGATCCTTGCCAGCAAGAAAATGATGTTTTTGAGGCTCAAATGGAGAAAGTGGCAATGGACCCAAATGACGATATTGGTGGAGAATACGAAGCGAAAACCAGAACCCCTAGTCCATCATTTGAACCACCATTAACCCCTGAGCAGCAAAAACCATCACTTGAGAATGATGGGGTAAGCTCATTAAAGGCCAAACTGGAAGAGAAGGAAAAAGAACTCGCGAACTCTCACCTAGAAAATGAGGGTCTCAAGCAAAAGCTAAACAAAAAGGAAATTGAGGCAATATCAGCAAAATCAAAGGAAGAGGAAACAGCTCTCCAATTGAGCCAGGTAAGAGAAGAGCTGGAAACTGCTAAGGACAATGCAGCCATGCTGAATGACAAGCTAGAGGCGAGCGAGAAGGCAAAGGAGATGTTAGAAACTGAGATGAAAAAACTGCACATACAAACCGAGCAATGGAGGAAAGCAGCAGACGCAGCCGCCACACTCCTTTCAGGCGACATGGAGACCAAAGGGAGAGGGATGTCTGAGAGGTACTGCCACAGCGTACTCCAACCGGTGGTTGGCGGATACGGCAGTTATGTGGTGTATCCTGGCTTGTTTGATGAATCCGAGGATGTTTCGGAGAGCGCAAGGAAGAAGGGTTCCGGCATCAAAATGTTTGGTGATCTCTGGAAAAGAAAGAGCCAGAAACAATGAGGGGTGTGGTTCTTGCTTGCCTGATGAATAATTGATACCCCACCCCATATTAACATCTTGTTTTTCAATCCATGTCTCTGTACTAAGAGGATTCTACCAATCCATTACTTTAGATGTTTAATTTTTTGGCCAACAGCCTTCTGGTTGCCCCCATTCCCGTCCACTTCACTATGTACTCCCTACTTTAATTTAATAATGACTTCCAATTAAACATTTCATTGTGTGCCAATTTTGCTAATGGTGTTTTAGTACTCAATAGGGATCGGATAATAACTGTTCTTAAAACAGGGATGATGATAATTGATAACTTTAAAGAACAAATAATGACTTGGAAACATCATTGATTTTATCTCTTTTCTATAAATTTTATTTGTTTGTGTGTTTTCATTGCTTATTTGAAGAAAAAAATTTCTTATTAGTTCTTGTTTTATAGAATTTTTGATGTAATTTTAACATATAATGTTTATTAGAATTTATGTGAAAAGTATAAAAGAATGTGGAATCGGCAGAACAATTTGTTTCTGTGCCAACAAAATATTGGCATCCTGCACGGGAGCCGGGAGGGCCTCTAAATCCCTCTAATGGAGCCGAAGCGGCAGAAAGGTTTAAGATAGCCAAAATGATACAACTGCTACACTTCATACTCGAGAAAAATTATTTTCATTTAAGTATGTTTAATCAACTTTATAAAATTTTGACTATAATATATGAAAATATATTGCATTATGAAATACGGAGTATCTAGTAAGCGGATAGCTAAAAATTTGATTACCGTCCGCATTTGTATCTGTTTATATAAACAAGATATGCATCCGACTAAAGCGGCTATTATCCAGATTCGATTAAAGACATTCGTTTGATAAACGGACACATATTTGGTAATCTCCCATTCATTCGGTTTAAAATCTGATCTACATGGACATCTTTTTGGGTAAGCGTTTATTCCTTTATCCGGTCTGTATATCCCGTATATGTAAACATACAACGGAGTATGACTTTTATATTAAATATATGGAGTACTAATTAAATAAGTAATTATAGTTAGAGTTTGAGCGTTCCTTAATCAGGGACGAGGGACCATAATTTTTTTTTTCAATTTTTCAATATTTTATTTTTAGATTTTTATCTCAAAATATAAGATATATCTCTATGTAAAATATATGTGTAAACACATACAGATAGGTGTGTAGTTTTTAGCTTAACTAGTATTCTGACTCGTGCCATGCACGAGGTAATATACAATTTTTGTCGATTCTAAAATTTGTTCAATGAAATTTATTTTTTGGAATAAAGAAAATATATTTTTCACATGATTTTCAATACAATAGGTGTAAAATTCTAAAGAAAAATTAATAATATTCGAGAAATTGAACGTAGACTCAACAATGTTTATTTTAATACCAAATTTTTTGAAAAAAACTTCAGGGTATACAATATTTTTGGTATGGTTGCAAGGGTTTTCATTGTTATCTAGAACTAATATTTTTAATCTCGTCTTTGTCTTTACTCGTGAAATAGCAACATAAAGTTGACCATATGTGAACACTGACTTGGTTAAAAATATTCCCACAGATGAAAATGTTTGACCTTGACTTTTGTTGATAGTCATAGCAAAACATAAGACGATTGGGAATTGTCTTCTTTGGAACTTCAAGGGTAGTCTTGGATCAGATGGTACCAAATTCATTCTAAGGATGTAAACCTTTTCCCCGACTTGATTTCTTGACACCTCAATTGCACCGATGACATTATTTCACAGCTCTTTAATGATTAATTTGGTTCCATTACACAATCCAGATGTATGATCAATGTTTCTCAAAAGCATAAACAATACCCTTTTTTCAAAACTATTTGGTGGATGGGGATTCTCGAACATTTGATTTCATTTAAAAACTCCACTATTATCCCATCGCCATGAACACCTACATTTGCATTTGATTAGCAAGAAGAATCAGAACTCAAGAACTACTTTTTTATCACTGGGAATAAGAGACAAGACAAATTCATTTATCATTTCAACTACTTTGAGAGTTGGTGCCAATAGTTCTCTATCCTCAAAAAAGAATAATTTTTCATATTTTCTAATATCTTCGGATAATTGAAGTCTAATGTACTCTTGATAGGATAACTTGTATGAAGAATTAAGAATTTAGGCGAAATATCGACATCACTAACTCCATCAATCACTTGACCTAGTTTTCCATCTCCCACTTTGATTATCCAATCCGAAAAAGCTTGCGTGTCCTTGTCTGTGTAAGATGACATAGATGAATGCAATCTCATATTCTTAGTCAATGTAAAAACTTTACAACACGACAACAAATGTGAGGAATTGATCGTAGCACCTACAATTTCCTCTCTGGAAGCTCTAGGTAAAACTGGAAGGATCTGCTGAAAGTCACCTTCGAGTATAACTATTTTCCTTCCAAATGGGTCATTTTGGTGATTACTGTTAGAGAACCCCATGATATCTCTCATTGTGCGATCCAATGTTTCAAAAGCAAATATATTCATCATACATGCTTCATCCCATATGATAAGACTTGTTTGTTATATTAATTCAGCTTTCAGACTCCCTTGTTTGATGGCACACGTTGAGCACTCAATTAGTGCCAATGTGATCGAGAATCTAGAGTGTATTGTCCTTCCACCAGGTAATAGCAATGCTGCAATGCAACTCGATGCAACATTCAAAACAACCTTTCCTTTCGATCTTAGAGAAGCAAATAATGATTTCCAGAGGAAGGTCTTTTCAGTTCCCTTGTAACCATACACAAAAAAAGAAACCCCCTTTTTCAGTTGTCACAACTTCCATTATCTCGTCGTATAACTTCTTCTGGTCTTCATTCATGGTAGATAAGTACTGTGTAAGATCAGATGACAATTTTTCTCTATCATAGTTCAACGCCTCTACCTAGAAATGATTTTGAAATATATTGAGTGGGTTGTCATTTGGGAATGGCATGCCACCAAACTCTTTTAAAGATCGTCCGTTAGAATTAAACAAATTTTCAATCTCAATCAAACACAAATTTTATAAATCTTCAGGAGAGATAAATAGTTCTGCAAATAAAGTTAATATTAGACTAAATTATTTCAACGAAGATCTTAATTCTAGAGTTTTGTATGTGTACCATGCATTTCATATTAATGTTTATATAAACATTAAAAAATATATTTTTATAAAAATACCTTGATTACGCAATATTCTTCTTTGTTCAAATAAAATTCCATCAACTAAAAGCTCCCATGATTTTTATCAAACAACTTGAGGACGACTCATGGTATTTGTCACTAATAATGTGACAAATAGCTTTTTTAATTGACTCCCAAATCCTAACTCAGCAGCCTCTCTTTGATTCCTTTAATGAATTCCTTATCATCGATTAATAACCCCAATGCTTCGCAAGCTTCTTAGAATGAGTTATGTACAATATTGTTAAGAGTCCTCAAGCTCTGATAGCTTTTACATCCTCGTTGAACCATTAAAAGTATTCTCAAGTAATATAACTCTTCCGTTCCTGTTGGCACATATTGCAAGTGGCTATTGATGGTCTTTTTGTCTCAGAAACCACGTATGCTCCTTGTTGTTATACACAAAGTATAATGGGAATTCAGCATATGTCAAATTCTATCTCATAGTGTAGTGTGTATTGGCAATCATCTAAGCTTCAAACATGGAAGGTTTGTCTATATTTTGTTTGACAACATTTTTAAGTTTTAGTTTGTCTTTAAAACAAACAAATTTCTGCCCCGGGAGATGGAAATTCAATCTCAAAATAGCTGGCCACCTATGATGAATATCAAAAGCTAGGATTCTCCAAGAAGCTTCACATACAGACACATAATGACAATCGTAGTACTTCTCAATTTCATTATTCACCGCACTATGAACAACGTCACTCTTAGATTGTGTAACTCCAACACTTACTCTGTCTGGACCTTTTTTGACATATTTAAAAAGATACCTCATCAAGAGTTCTAGATTGCATGGCCCAACAAATCGAAATTAGCGGGATAAAAGCTTAGCTTTAACAGATGTTTCTCTAACTTGGATACATATTTTTAGAAAATTTGTATCTGTTTGAAATTAGTACTCCCTCCGCCCATGAGTCTTTGCCTACTTTTTATTTTTTTCGGTCAATATTAGTAAACTTTGACTTCAAATTAAATAAAAACAATATTAGATGTTGGTACAAAAATAATTTTATTAGATTTATTATATCAAATATTTTCAAAATATTATTTTATATAACTAATATACAATATATATTTAATTTAATTATAGGTCAAAGATTAAAAACACTTGACCGAAAAAAGTCAAAACTTGATAAATACTTAGGGATGGAGGTAATATATGTTTGAAAAGACAATTGAATTAAACGGTGGAAATGGTGAAATCGTTCCTTTTGGACCAAATACCAAGGCAAGGAGAAAAATGGGGTTAAATGTCTAAAATATCCCTATTGAAATTATCGGCCAACTAAACAATCCAATGAAAGAATTGAAGTTGGCTTCTCTGCCGGCTTGCTGCTACAGTGCCGCCCTCCCTCCACAGGAGATCATAATCGCCATCCTCCTTTCACTGGAGATCGTCTCTGTCTTCCTTCTTCATTGACGCAGTCCTTGGAAAATAGCTTTGGAAACAACCAGATCTCTATTCCTTAAAAATAGATCTGATTTATACATGAAGAAAAGAGCAAAAAGGAAAAAAAGTACAAACAAATGATCTTTTGATATTCGACCGGAGTAGGAAGATTCGGAGTTGCCGGAGAGCATAATCTGCATCCATAAAAAAAAGTAAATGTTGTTCCTAAGTTTCATAGAACTCATGGATAATTAAAATGTAAATCGTTAATATATTTAGCTATGTATATATCTCACTAAAATAATTTTATTACTTTTCTTTTTAGATTAGTGGGAATAGAATGATGTGGGAGTATGACTGTTTAATTTCATTTTCCTTTAAATTATACGGAGTAATCTCATAGGAATATAATAAGAAATATTTGCACTAAATAGCATTAAAACTTAAGTCATTTCTTAAATAATACTTAAATTGTTTTATTCCCTAAATAGCACTTAATAATGTCCATAATGACCAGTGATAACAAATATTTACTTGAATAATGACTAATGCATAATGACTAAAAATGTTACATTGGGAAGAAAAACACATGTAGTGCTATTTAGAGGAAGTCATTATGTTTA